CAGACATATGTGGCTGGCACCTTAGCCACTTCAGCCACAGGCGCCGAGTCACCACGTTTTCTTTATCCATTCATCCACCGGTAGAAACTTAGGTTGGTTTCATATCTTGGCTATTGTGAGTAGTGCTGTAGTAAACATGGAGGTGCAGGTATCCCTGTGATACACTGATTTACTTTCCTTTGTTTGTAGTTTTTTGTTTGTTTGTTTTGGTTTTTGTCTCATGCCACCCTTGGCAGAGTGCCATGGTGTCACAGCTTACAACCTCCTCAAACTCTTGGGCTTAAGCGATTCTCTTGTCTCAGCTGCCCAAGTAGATGGGACTACAGGCACCCGCCACAACACCTGGCTATTTTTTTGTTGCAGTTGTTGTTCAGCACACCGGGGCCAGGTTCGAACCTACTTGCCTCGGTGTATGTGGCCAGCACTCTAACCACTGGGCTACAGGCGTTGAGCCCTGATTTACTTTACTTTGGATAAATACCCAGTAGTGAGATTGCTGGATTGTATGGTAGTTCTGTTTTTAGTTTGAATAAAAAATGTTTTTTAACACAGGCTAGTTGATTTGTGATATGAGGACTAGTAGGTTTGTGATAAGAAAAAGGAGGTGAGTTGCAAAATGATAAAAGTGGGTATAGAAAAAAACTAATGTATGTAAAAGTGCAACCATAAATCTGGTTTCTGTTACTACCATTGTATCTTTTTTTTAGAGTCTGAGATAGGCTGGGCACAGTGGCTTGTGCCTATAGTTCTAGCACTCTGGAGGCCAAGGCAGGTGGATTGCTTAAGCTCAGGAGTTGGAAACTAACCTGAGCAAGAGTGAGGCCCTGTCTCTACTAAAAATAGAAAATTTAGCTGGGCATTGTGGTAGGCACGTGTAGTCCCAGCTACTTGGGAGGTTGAACCAAGAGGATCTCTCAAACCCCAGAGTTTGAGGTTGCTAATGAGCTATGATGCCAGGGCACTCTACCAAGGGTGACAGAGTGAGACTCTGTCCCTAAATAAATATATAAATAAGTAAATAAATATAATATGACTTTCTAATACATACGAGAAAATTACTACAATCTTTTCTTATTCATGAGTGTTCACGGTTGAGAAGACCATAACATATTCTTAGTCCTTGCAAGCTAATTTTTGGTTGTTTCTTTTTTTTTTTTTTTTTTTTTTGAGACGGAGTCTTACTCTGTCACCCTTGGTTAGAGTGCCATGGCACCATAGCTCACAGCAACCTCAAACTCCTGGGCTAAAGCGATCCTTCTGCCTCAGGCTCCTGCTGATTTTTGAATTTATTATGTTGCTCTGTATAACAGAAAAACTATATGAATGTCTGTTTTAGTGACTTAGCAACTAGAGCAGTGGTTCTCAACCTGTGGGTCACGACCCCTTTGTAACAATGAAAATACATCCTGCATATCAGATATTTACATTACGATTCATAACAGTAGTAAAATCACAGTTATAAAGTAGCAACGAAAATAATTTTATGGTTGGGGGTCATCACAACATGAGGAACTGTATTCAAGGGTCAAAGCATTAGGAAGGTTGAAAACCACTGAACTAGATATATTTTTTGTTTGTTTGTTTGTTTTGTTTTGTTTTTTGCAGCTTTTGGCTGGGGCCGGGTTTGAATCCACCACCTCCTGTATATGGGGCCAGTGCCCCTACTCCTTTGAGCCACAGGCACCACCTGAGAAATATATATTTCAATTCATCTTTTTTTTAGGGAATATGAACATAATAGGATTGAGAACAATATTTTACATTGTTATAGGTGATATTTGGCTCTTGCTATCTGGTAAGAGTTTTAAGGAAACAACATAAAATGAAACTTTTTGTTGTTGTTATTGTTGAGGCAGTCTCACTGTTGTCCAGGCTGGAGTGCCATGGCATCAGCCTAGCTCACAGCAACCTCAAATCCCTGGGTTCAAGGGATATTTTGCCTCAGCTTCTTGCGTAGCTGGGATTGTAGGCACATGTCATCATGCCCAGCTAATTTTCCTATTTTAGTAGAGACCGGGTCAGGGTCTTACTCTTGCTCAGGCTGGTCTCTGAGCTCAAGCAATCCACCCACATGGGCCTTCCAGAGTGCTAGGATTATAGGGATAAGCCACTGTGCCCCGCCCAAAATGAAACTCTTAAGAGGAAAATTTTGGAATCTAAGTCTTATCTCAGGTCTAATGTGTAAAATTATTCACAGCACAGCTGTTGAAATGAATATTAAAGTTGGGAGATCTAGATTCTAGTCCCAGCTCTACTATTTACTACTGAGCAACTATAAGCAAGTCACCACTTTTTTGCGTCTCCTAACTTATAAAATGAAGATAATAATAAATATCCTACCTTCCGTCAAGGTATACATGGAGTACTCAATGAAGTGGTATGGCTGAAATTATTTGAAGAAGCTAATGTACCATGGAACCATTGGTCATTAAACTTTATTTTTTACGTTCCTGTGAAATCTGCTGTTAACAGCTAGGAAGACAGAATATAAAGCATGATAATGTTTGCACTTACATGCCATATAATTTACTGTGCAAATATGTTGAAATGAAAGAAATGAGACATAGGACTAATTAGACAGAATGAAGATAGAGGAGATTGCTGTCTTTTTTCCATCCTGTTTTGTTAGCATTATTTTGTTTTCTTTCCCCGTGATTTTCTAGGCAAAGAGTGTATACAGCAGTTAGCTGAAAATACGAGGTATTTCAGGCGACGCCTGAAAGAAATGGGCTTCATCATTTATGGAAATGAAGATTCTCCAGTGGTGCCTTTGATGCTCTACATGCCAGCCAAGATTGGGTATGTTTTGTTGCAGAGCACAGACTGTTCTTTCCTTAGACTCAAGGTCTCTGTGATACGTGACTAGGGCATGGGTATTTTGTTAGGGAAAAATTACCTTGTCCCTATTTGAGTTAACCTTCATTTTATAGATAGGCCATAGATTAAATAGTGGATTCCAAATTGCAAAATATGTTAATTGGTATTCTTTCATTAAACAAACACTTGAGTTTAACATACTCTTCTAGTGGCTTGGAGTAGAGAAGTGAACACAATTCAAACATCCCTGCCCTTGTGGAGCTTATATTCTAGTGGGGCAAGAGTCAAACATAATAAATAAGTAAATGATGCCATATATTCAAAGGTGTTAAGTTATGGAAAAAATAGAGCAGGATATTCAAGATGTATAGGGAATTGAGTGTGTCTTGTGGGCAGGCAGATGACAATGTTAAATAGGGTGGTCAGGGTAAGCCTCCTTGGCAGGGCAAGGTGACATCTTAGCAAAGACTTGAAGAATCTGAGTGAGCTAGTCATTTGGAAAAAGAAGTATCTGTGGTAAGGCCACATGCAGGACAAGCTTAGCTGAGAGCAAAGAGATCACTGGAACTGGCGTAAAGGGCCCTGAGGTCAGAGAGATTAGATCAGGGTGTGTTACTGGATATGTACCAGGTAGGCCAATTACACCCGTTTCGCTGGTTTATGCAAGGCATACGTAGTGGAAAGCTTTCAATGTGTTGGTGAAGTCCAGATGTTTAACAAAAAAATCAGAAGACATTTGAAAAGCAAATGAACAACAGTCGTACTGAACAAATTTAATTATATGCAAAATTGCACTGGAGAAGCAGAAAAAGGAATGATCTGCTTAGTGTAGGCTTAGTAAGAAAGGGATATCTTTTTGGATGGGTGAATTAGGAGCTGGAAACATGAATATAAAATTATAAGGAAATCATGTCTCTAGTTTGAATAGACCTCATTAAAGGAGCCAATAGGATGGGTGTGGTGGCTCATGCCTGTAATCCTAGCACTCTGGGAGGTGGAGGTGAGTGGATTGCTTGAGCTCAGGAGTTTGAGACCAGCCTGAACAAGAGAGAGACTCCATCTCTAAAAATAGCCAGATGTTATTGCTGGTGCCTGTCATTCCAGCTCCTCAGGGGCTGAGGCAAGGGGATCTCTTGAGCCTAGGACTTTGAGGTTGCTGTGACGCCACAGTACTCTACCCAGGGTGACAAAGTGAGACTTTGTCTCAAAATAAATAAAAAGATAAAGGAAGAAATATTATTTGTTTTTGAGTCTTTGGTCCTCATGGTATAATCAATAAGATGCTTAGCGAATTGAATATGGGAGAGAAGATCAAATTAAGGAGTCTAGAAGTACAAGGATGCCCAAGATACTGAGAGGAAAATTAGGGAAAGGTGCTCACCCAGAGGAGAGGAATTCTGTTTCAGCACAAAGACATACCAGGCAATTGGCATTATGGCCTTCAGAGGACGTGGTGGTGGATGTTCTTCATTCTTTTTTAAATGGAATTATTATAAATAAACTCGAAGCATTATTAAATCCAGAGGGCAGAAGGAATGAAGAAGAACTGCAATAAAGCACTAGGCCATTTGGGAGCATGTGTTGAAGAAGGTACAGGGCACTCAGGTTCCTCCTGATGCAAAGGAGGCGCGTGGGGGAAGATGTGCAGGTCCCGGAAAGAGTCAGAGAGGGCTGGCATCAAGGTAATGCCCGATGTACCTGATGTTTTATTCTCAGACAAATGTTGTAAGAGAACAGTCAAAATGAAATTAGGTAGATCAACAAGAGGAAGAACATAACGCGATTTAGTAAACAAAATTAAATGAAAATTAGAATGCGTTAGACAAGATACAGATCTATAGCCGGAAGGCCACAGGCCATCAGTGTTGGCTTGGGGATGGGAGTTTGTAGAGTGGGTAATCAGCTAAAACCAGGGAAAGAGCAGGCCCAGCCAACACCAAAGGAAACCCTGAGTTCCAAAGGCAGCTTTGCTGCCAAGTTGATCAGAAAAATGTCTCGCCTATATTGGGAGGGACACCATGTTAGAAAATATCTCCTGAGGACTAGGGAAAAAATGTTTGGTGAACTGTCAGTGAAGTTCGTTTAGGACAGCAGGACCTTTGTAACGTGTGTTCTGTCACTCCTCCTGGTCTCTTTCCCCTGTCTTCCCCTTTGCAGCGCCTTCGGACGGGAGATGCTAAAGCGGAACATTGGTGTAGTTGTGGTGGGATTTCCTGCTACCCCAATTATCGAGTCCAGAGCCAGGTTTTGCCTGTCGGCAGCTCATACCAAAGAAATACTTGACACTGTAAGTAGATGCTTTGACCTGGGTATAAATAGGCCTTATATGAAAAAGGGCCTGTATATCAGATGAAAGTAATCACTTGTTGATCCTGATGTTCCCTGAGCCCCTAAGATATTTACCTGTAAGACAGAGGAGGTGGTACACAATGCTACTTAGAATATTGCTGTTTAGGCTCGGCGCCTGTGGCTCAAGTGGCTAAGGCGCCAGCCACATACACCTGAGCTGGCGGGTTCGAATCCAGCCTGGGCCCGCCAAACAACAATGACGGCTGCAACCAAAAAATAGCCGGGCGTTGTGGCGGGCGCCTGTGGTCCCAGCTACTTGGGAGGCTCCAGGCGTTGTAGCAGGCGCCTGTGGTCCCAGCTACTTGGGAGGCTGAGGCAGGAGACTCGCTTGAGCTCAGGAGTTGGAGGTTGCTGTGAGCTGTGATGCCACGGCACTCTACCCAGGGGGACAGCTTGAGGCTCTGTCTCAAAAAAAAAAAAAAAAAGAATATTGCTGTTTACCAAAACACCTTAGCATCACCTACCAGACCTAGTGTCGTCAGAGCTCTGGAGAATTTTCCAGCTTCGTCTTATTCCCCTGTATCCCTCATTATAGACTCAACAACTGTACATTTCTCTTTCTACTCAGGTACTTTCTACTTTGAGCTTTCTCCTATACAGCATTTTTCTGTCTGTAGAATTTTCTGTCTTAGCTTGGCGTCCATAGCACAGCACAGCACAGCACAGCATTACGGCACCAGCCACATGCACTAAAGGTTGGCAGGTTCAAACCCAGCCCCAGCCAGCTAAAGAACAATGACAACTGCAACAAAAAAACAGCCAAGTGTCGTGGCGGGTGCCTGTAGTCCCAGTTACTTCGGAGGCTGAGGCAAGAGAATTGCTTAAGCCCAAGAGGTTGACGTTGCTGTAAGCTGTGATGCCATGGCCCTCTACTGAGGGTGACATAGACTCTGTCTCAAAAAAAAAAAGAATTTTCTGGCATGGTGCCCATAGCATTGTGGTTACAGCACCAGCCACATACACCTAGGCTGGTGGGTTCAAACCCAGCCTGGGCCAGCTAAGCAACAATAACAACTGCAACAGAAAAATAGACGGGCATTGTGGCCAGGGCCAGTAGTCCCAGCTACTTGGAAGCCTGAGGCAAGAGAATCGCTTAAGCCCAAGAGATTAAAGTTGCTGTGAGCTGTGACATAACAGCACTTCACTGAGGGCAACATAGTGAGACTCTGTTTCAAAAAAAAAAAAAAAAGAATTTTCTGTCTTGAATCTTCTGTCCCCTTTGCCTGGCTGACTGTTTACTCATGCTTCATATCTCCACTTAAAGGAAACTTGCTCGTAGGTTCTCCCAAACCTTCTTGCTGTGTGTTCCCTTGGAATCCCCAGATTCTCCCTTCATAAATTCTTTACACTGTTAGTATCTAATGGCAATCTTCTCCACTGCTTAGATCTTTAGGATAGAGACTGTCCTAATGTTTTGCTCATTCTATGTCCACAGCACCTATCACAGTGCCAGTCACCTTGTTGGGGCTAATCATTACTGAATTATTTATGATCTCAGTATATTCTCTCTCTTAATAGTCTCTTAATATGCTGTTGTTTCACATCTAAGATTTCAGACTTAAATAAGTATTGCTGTCCAGGAGCATATCAAGCTTTTAAGAATAGAACATGTGCATAAAATCAGTTGCTAAGAATATCCACTCATTAGAGAGAATTTAAAAAACTATTAAGAATGTTTTTAAAAGTTCATTATATATGGCTTGGCACCTGTAGCTCAGCAGCTAGAGCGCCAGCCACATACACCGGAGCTGGCGGGTTCAAATCTAGCCCGGGCCTGCCAAACAACAATGACAACTACAACCAAAATATAACCGGGCATTGTGGCAGTCGCCTGTAGTCCCAGCTGTTTGTGAGGCTGAGGCAAGAGAATCACTTAAGCCCAAGAGTTTGAGGTTTCTATGAGCTGTGATGCCTTGGCACTTTACTGAGGGCGACATAGTGAGACTCTGTCTCAAAAAAAAAAAAGTTGATTATATTTATTGATAACAATTTGACATTATACATTTCTGAATAGCTGAAGACTTTGGACTTTTCTTATTTCTACACAGCAAAACTTCTGCAAACATAAGGGCATTTCCTTGTTTTGTTTTGGTTTTTTATTGTGCTAAGAACACTTAACATGAAATCTATCCTTACCAAATTTTTAAGTATACAATATTGTTAATTCTAGGCATAATGTTGTGTTATATGGGTGTATTGTTAGTCACATTCTGATGTTATCAAATTGGGTTCATTTTTTCAATATCTTATCTTTTCCTTTTTCGTTATTTTGATTATGCCTTTCTTTTTCTTTTTTCTTTTTGAGACAGACTCACTCTGCCCGAGCGAGGGTAGAGTGTCATGGCATCAGACCTCACTGAGCAGTTTCAAACTCCTAAGCTCAAGCAATCTATCCACCTCGGCCTCCCAGAGTGCTAGGATTACCAGGAGTGAGCCACTGTGCCTAGCCTTTCTCTTCTTTCTTTCCTTTTTCTTTTCTTTTTTTTTTTTTTTTT